TCCCTGTGGTGGTCTTGGACCTGTCCAGGTGTCCCTGTGGTGGTCTTACACAGACCTTATGTGACACAGTGAAGATTCGACACGATCTTTAGACTTTTTTAGGTCAATAACTTGAACTAATGGACATTTTATAATTCACTGTATGAGAATGTGTTGTGTTATAATTAACTAATTGGTTGTTTTGGATTTTAATCTGGGTCTGAATTGAAAGTGTGACTTGGACTTGTGGGTCCTCGTCAGAAGATCCCGAGTCTCGTCTGTGTGTTGCGGTGGCTTTGAGGTGCGCTCACCTGGAGATGACGTATCTTAAACAGAGCTCAGCTTGGACCAAGTGTCCCAGCTGAGTTAGACACAGGCCCTTCAGCAGCTGCACGACACACAGATCATCCAGGTGGAACTCTGATGGAGCTGCACAAACTGTTAGTTTGATTGGCACTAAATTATTTGCACTGTACTTTTCAAATTCTGTCATCTCACATGGATCTTTTCGGAGGCGCTCCTCTGCTTTTTCCAGGGTAGACAAGATGTTCTCAGTCAGCTCAGGCCTTTTGCCGACTACTTTGAAGCCATTCCACACGTACATCATCTCCTGTCAGAGATCATTGTGGATTACTGGTACAGAAACGCTCGTGTTTGACCGACAGCCTGGGCACGTGCTCTCACCAGAGCCGGGACGATGAGTTTCCCAGGGTTCAGGGAGGAGAACCTTTGGGCCTTCTTTGCAGCAAACTTCTCTGTTGGAATAGATTTTCCTGCGAGTCTTATTCTGAGACCATCCACCTGCCTACAGAGCACAGCTGCTTTACTTTATTTATAACTGTAGACATTTGAAGGTAATGAGGCTCATTTCTTTGTGCACCTGAATAGTGTCGCTACATTTTCCCCCAGTTTAGTAACTTCTTCTTCTGGGAGCATGCTCAAGATGGCAGCTTTCTGAAATACATAGGTTGCCTGCGGAAAAGACACAACGATTTGTTGAGTAAGCAGAAAGAATGAACAGAACTTTTATGAGTAGGGGAAAAATATACAAGACAGTTAGGTCAAAAGTTTCCATACACTCAATATGAGCTTTAAATTGTCGAGAACATCCAGGAACAGCCCAGAACCCCCACGGTGTCCAGCCTGATATAAACTAGAAACTGCTGGAACAGCAGCGTCCGTGACCAAAGTAAAGTTCATGGACTGAGAGGATACTGACCAAAAACAAGACCCCCCCCAAAAGCTCAAATGAAGGTGACTGCTCCCCACATGGACAAAATGTCTTATGAAGAAAGGTTTTAGTCACATGAGACCAACGTTGAGCTATTTGGCCACAGCGACGAGAAGGAGAAAAGGGAAGGGCTTCAAACCTAAGACCCCCGTCTGTCACGCAGGCATGGCTTTGTGCCGTAGGGTCGTTTTATCACGTAGTCCTACCAATTCTCCAACGTCATGTCGAATCACTCGCAAGAGGGTTACATCTTGGACACAACAGTGGCTCCAAACACACATTAGAAATGACCAAAGGCAAAAGAAGCTTCTGGAAGGAATCCCAAAGCCTCAAGCTCAACCTGTAGGAAACTGGTGAACATCAACTTGGTCTGTGTCAGGAAACCAACCAGTTTAAAGGAACTCCACCAGCTCTGCCTGGAAAACGGTAAAATATCCAACAAAAACCATTGTAGGAGTTTGATGACGGCTCTAAAAGTGTGTGGTCAAGGTTCAATTAGCTAAGAGGCATTGAATCAAATGTTAGCGGGCTGTATGTTTATTTTTATGACAGAATGGACTTTAAACCTGATGGTTTGGCCCCGGGGTCAGATGTGGCCCTCGTTGACATCTTATCTGGCACCAAGATGTTATTTTAAATGTTAAATACTTTTATCACTTTAATTTTTCTCAGTAATCTTTCATTATGATGTCAAAAGTGCAACAGAGAACATGAAATGAGCCCAATCAAACTGTTGTTGAGGAACCTGCGGCCAAGACAAGATGTTGGTTTCTAACTTGAGTTAATGTGGATTCTGAAACCGGCTCTTAGTTTGACAAAGGTTTTAAGTTTGGCCCCATTTCTAAGTGGGCTTGACACCCCTGGTTTAGAGAAACAGAATAAAATAAATGACTAAAAGTTCAAAAATGATTCAGCGCCATGCCCATCATGTGTGAACGTAAACTTGTGATGGGAGTTGTACCTGGGACCACTTGTTCTCTTTGCAGAGCAGGTTGGCGTATCGATACGCTTCCATCCAGTTTTGTTCGAAGGAGTAGGCCCACATCAGCTCCCAGTAGCACAGGTGGTGAATCTGACGCCACTCTTTCTGCGTTGCAATGCACTCCAGGAACTTCTCCTGGGCCTGCAGAGAAGCCCAGACCGTCTGAATATCAAGTTTAGCTCACAAACACAAATGGCTGCGCAGCAAGTGCATGAACTTAGGAGTCACTCACAAATGTGAAAGCCCCTTTGAGTACAGCAATTCGTGCAGTGTAGAAAAGAACGAGCGCTCCCTGTGGGGAAAAGAGTTCAGCTCAGATCGTACCCCAACCCGTTCAGTAGTTCCAGTAACTAATCAACATGGATCAGCACCAGCAGTGCTCACATTAGGGAAGTTCTCAGCAAAGGGTTTTAGCAGAGCTTCAGCCTCAGTGAGGTTTACATCGCCAGTACCTGAAGGAAGAATGCATCACGTTTACACCGTTACAACCTCAAATAGTCAGAAATGCTCTTATAGATGAGAAGAAACAGTAAAAGATGCTCACCGAGCGTCACTGTGATGTAGAGATGAAACATGAGCAGAGTCAGAGTGCTGAGGATGGAACGGAGGCTGTCGCTCGTTGCTCCTTCCCTCAGCTCTGACAAACCAAGCTCCTGAAAAATATGTTTGCACTGAATTGTTCTTCTGCCTGAGACGAACGCTGCATCATGACAAGACAGGAGTTCTGTGTGGCACGGGGACGGCTCCTACCCTGTCTCCAGAAAAGCCCAGAAACTCCATCAGTCTGAGGACGTTGGATGGAAGCAGGGACAAGATCTGATCACAAACACACACAGTTGGTCTTCACGGCATGACTGGACTTCTGCTTTCGGATCTTGAAGATACTTTAATTTTTGCAAACTTTTAAAAAACCAACAAAGGATTTCTTGTCAACAATGACTGTATTTTGATCTTAAATTGTTATTGTTTAAATAATTATTGCCATTTACTGTTATACTGTATGTTTTATACTTTTTATATTTCTGAAGTCTTCATCTAATCGTGCTACTTGTTTAGTTTTTATGACGTGTGCTGCTGCTGCCTGGTCTTGGACAGGTCACCCTTGTGACAAAGGTCTTGATCTCAATGGGTATTATCTAGTTAAATAAAGGTTTAGTAAAATTCTTACTCTAAAGGTTTCTAACTTGCTGGTGCTGATTTTATATTTATAAGCCCTTTAAGGATATTTAAACTGGGAGTCATAAGACCTGACCGTGACACGAGATGTTCTGGTCCCTTTTCAACGTACAAAAGATTGTGAAATTCCACGGCGATGAGTCGAACAACATTTTAGGTGTTTGATAGAGGATTATTGAAAGGGACAACTGAGTCTTGAGACGTTTGGAGTTAAATCTTATGAGTTTTGAAACTGTTCTCAAAAAAGGCAGTTTAATTTCCTTTATAAAAACCTGTGGTCACTCCGTGTTGGAGCGGACTGCACCACACCTTGTTGAGGGTGGTTTTAGAATCAGGATAAACCAGCCTGGAGGTCATATTTGGCTCTACTTCCTCAGGCGGCTGAGACGAGCTGGTCTGGAAGCTCAGTCCTCACCTCCTTCTACAGGTGTGCAGTGGAGAGCATCCTGTGCTCCAGCATCAACGTGTGGCATGGAGGCTGCACAGCTGCAGAAAGAAAAGCTTTGCAGAGAGTGGTGAAGGCTGCACAGAAGATGTTGGAGTCAGCCTCCTCACCATCACAGACATCTACACCTCCAGATGCAGGAAGAGGGCCACCTGCATCATGAAGGACCACACTCACCCAGCACACACACTTTTTGCCCCACTCCCCTCAGGAAGGAGGTTGAGGAGCATTAAGTGTAGAACCACTAGACTGAGGAACAGCTTCTACCCTGAGGCTGTTAGACTCATGAATCTCTAACCAGGAGAATCACTGTGATGCCACTTTAACTGGAGATTTGACACTTTATCCATGCTGCTGATTATCCATGCTGCTGATTATCTCATGCTGCTGATTATCCATGCTGCTGATT